GCTATAACTGCAATAAATAAGAATACATTATATGCAACTGCTATCAACTTCGGAAGAACAAATAGCAATTAGTTCAGAAAGAATGCTAGATAAATATTGCTTGATAATAGAAATTCAATCAATTAAGCAAAAATACTCCTTTAAAGCAAGTATTGAACTCTATTAATTACGGAAATCTTAGCTGAATATTCTGCTATAATAATAACTGCTTAATACATTTCTTGAGTAAGAAAGGTTTAGAATAGTTCTCTTAGAAATCTAAGCGCTGCAGATAAATAGCAATAGCAGGATGAGAGTGCATGCTTAGCACTTCTACGAGTAGCAACTCGAACTGCTTTTATATTGTGGAATAAAGTATTTAGGTATTGAAAGAAGAGCTTAGCAATAATACTCTTTAACATTCTTCATTGCTTATACTAAGCATTATAATCAGAGATATGAATAAGAGATAGTATCCTCTTAGTTATTAGTATGAATACTTAAATAATACCGAAAACATTTTTCAAGCAATAGAAGAATTAAGCTAGAGCAAACAATCTAGCAGCCTGCAGAAGCTTTCTGCAAATAATATGCTTAATAAGCTTAAAGGAAGATTTTTCTTCAGCATTAAGTGAAACAAGGAAATAATATGAATCGAATATCTTATTTACGGAATAGAGCTGAAAGAGCTCTTCATCTGCATTCCCTTGCAGAATATTGAGGCATAAGAAGATAAGAATCCTTGAATCAGCTTACTCTACAATCTATACTACAAACTAGCATAAATCTTCTGCATTTATCATAGCTGCAGAACGTATTTCTCGAACAAGATGTAATATGAATAGTTCTCTGTTAGAGAATCAGAACAAATCCTTCAAGCTATTGAAGAAAAGAAACTTCGCTTTAGAAAAGTTCTTAATAAACAGCATTACAATGCATATATTAAGCTACTAAATAACTATTCTATACAATGTATAAATAAGAAGATAAAATAGTAGCAGTATAAGATGATATTCTGTATAATTCATATTAATAATAAAGTTTGCAACTAGCATTAATAAAAGAAAGATTAGAAATAATAATAATATAAGCAAAAGCAAGCTAAGAAGCTTGCTTGAGAAGTAGCAAAGCAGGCTTAAAAGAATAAATAGTTCTTAATAAACTTAAAAGAACAGAATTGCTTATAAAGAAACTGCAAATAATTAGACTAAAGCAATTCTTATATAAAGCTTTTAGAATAAATTACGCTTATATCAAGTTTAATATATATATTCAAGAATATAAATACAGCGTACTATTGAATAGTAGCGCTCAGGAAAACTTTATATTTCTATATATTATTAATTAAGCATAACTATAATAGAGATAGAAGAGATGCTCATATACTTTCAGCATTATAAAAGAATAATCTGTTATATACAATCAAGAAGTAATTAATAAGAAGACTGATTATTTATCTATCTCAATCCAAGAATGCATAATTAAAGCTTTTTTTAACATTATAGATATAGCATAGTATAAGCTAATTATAAAGCTTCTATAGCTCAAAGAGTACAATTCTCGAATTAATTAAACTACTAGCTAGATCTTATGAGAACAAGCTATACCCAGAGAGATAGTTGCAATCAACAATGCAGAATCAAAGCTAATTATTAAAGAATACTTGGAAAAAGAAGCTTTAAATAACTTTATATATATTTCCAAATTAGCAGAGCTAGCAATTCAAGAAGAAGAATCTAGTAACAAGCAAACCTAAACAATGCTAGAGTGCTAACAGATTAGCAAAACAACGGAAGCGAGACTCTTAGCAAGTTAGTTCGCTCCGAAGCAACAAGAAAAAGCTTCAGAATATGAATTATAAACCTATACGGAAAAAACCTCGAAACTAAGCTCTCAAGCGCTTGATTCAGCTCAGAGCGAATACTTAAAGCTCTCAAAAACATCGCTAAAAACAACGAATGAAAAGAAGCATGCTTAACAGTACCTACTATTCCTCTAAATAGCAGAAACAGCACAAGAATCAGAATCAATACTTACAAACATATTACAAGAATATTACAAGTTTAAGAAACTATTTCAGAGAGAATTGAATACAGAATTATCAGAATACAGCCTATATAACTACAAGATCCTGCTACAAGAAGAAAAACAATCCAAGTTCTTTCCTATTTATGAACTAAATAAAGCATAATTAGAAGCATTTAAGAAATATCTTGATAAGAATCTTAAGAAGGAATATATATAATCATTGCAATTATCAGCAGGATATTCTATCCTGTTTGTATTTAAAAAGAATAGCAAGCTTAAGCTATATATTAACTACAAGTAATTCAACAATATTATAATTAAGAACTGATATTCATTGCTATTTATTAAGAAATTATAAGATAAGCTGCAAGAAGCATAATAGTTTATAATTCTAAATCTAAAAGAAGCTTATAATCTAATTAGAGTAAAGAAAGAAGAAGAATAGAAAACTGCTTTCAGAATATGCTATGAATACTATGAATATTTGATTATGCTTTTTGATTTAACAAATATTCCAGCTTTATTCCAGAAAATAATCAATTATATTCTATGCAAGCATCTGAATCAGTTCATCATTGCTTATTTCAATAATATCCTTATCTACTCTCAAATACTTAAAGAATATAAGAAATATATAGAAATAGTATTGCAAATGCTTCAAAATGCAAAACTTCTTATAAAATCCGCAAAGAGTTACTTTCACATACAAAAGATTAACTACTTCGAATTTACAATTAAGCTAGAATGCATTAAGCTATAGAAAAACAAGATAGAAGCTATTAGGAATTAGCTAGTTCTCAGAAACATTAGGGATATTAAATCTTTCCTCAGATATATCAACTTCTACAAGCAGTTTATTAAGAACTACAGCTGGATTGCACATTCTCTTACAAATCTTACTAAAAAGAAGCAGCTCTTCAAATAAACTCTCAAAGTACAAGAAGCTTTCAATAAGATTATTAAGCATATTATCTTAGAACCAATTCTGTATAAAGCAAATCCCTACAAATCCTTTGAAATTAAGACTAATGCATTAGAATATATACTCGAAGAATAACTTAGCTAGCAAGATGATTAAGAGTATCTAAGAATTATAAGCAACTTTTTAAAGAAATTGAATAGCTTGAAAATCAATTACAGAATTCTTAATCAGAAACTCATAGCAATAATGAAAGCTTTCAAGAAGTAGCAATACTATCTTATTAGCATATAATACTCAATTATAGTTTACTCGGATTATAAGAATCTAACTATATTTATAATAACTAAGATTTTGAATAAATAATAAATTAGATAAATAGAATTCTTCTTATAATTCAATTTCAAGATTATATATTGCAAAAGCTTAGAGAATGAATAAGCAGATGCTCTCAGCAGAAGATCAGATTATCGAGATGCAGATTCTTCAGATATATAAAATATCTTTATTCAAGATAAATCAGAAAATCTTGTTAATATATACAGAGAACTGAATGCTGCTTTTAAAATAGAACTCTCAGAAAAGAATTCAGAATTAATAATCTCAGATAAATAAAACAATTATATTAAGAATATATACAGTATACTAGCATATAGATACTAGAAAGTCAGAGCAATTTATAAATGCATTAAAAGATACTGAAATCTATTAAGCTTTAGGAAAAGAATTAAGAATATTTTATAATAATATAATAGCTGCAAGAAGAACAAAGCAGAAAGATATAAATCTTATAAACTACTGCATTTCTTATTAATACTTATAACTATTTAGCAATCCATCAATCTAAACTTTATTATTAAGCTATCTTTCTTACAAGAACTCTTAACTAAGATATAATATAATAGCATTCTAGTAATGATTTGCAAACTAAGCAAATATACTTATTTTCTTCTCTATAAGAAAAGCAGTATAGCAGAAGAACTTGCATATATATTCCTTAGAATAATTATTGCTAACTATAGCATATCAGAAGAAGTAATCTCTAATAGAAATAGAAAGTTCAACTCAAAGTTTTAAACTTTACTTATAAAACAGCTTAGAACATACTACAGAATATCTATAGCATTTTATTTACAAACAGATAAACAGATAGAAAGAATAAATCAAATTATTAAATAATATCTTTAATACTATATCAACTAAAAATAAAATAATTAGATTAATTTATTACTTTTTGCATAGTTCGCTTATAATAATGCAGATATAAGCATAATAAAGAGATTATTATTCTTCATACTCTATAAATATAACTCAACAGCTTATTACAAGATATTGCTAGAAGCGAATATAAAAGCTGCAGATAAGAAAATTAAGAAGATTAAGAAAATTCAGAAGAAACTCCAATCAGAACTACAATTCATCTAGAAACGAATAGTATAATATGCAAACTCCAAAAGAATTAAGAAACTAATCCTATAGAAGGAAAATAAGATTTATCTACTTCAAAAAAACATTAAAATAACAAAACTTAGCAATAAACTCAACTATAAGAAGTTAGAATTATTCAAAATCTTATAACAGATCTTTCCAATCAATTACAAATTAGCATTACCTCATAGGATAAGGATATACTCGGTTTTCCACATCTTACTGCTGAAATCAACAGTACAGAAAATACTAATGAATAATACAGCGGAAGTAGAAAACAATAAACCAGAATACAAAGTGGAGAAGATCCTCAAGTACAGAAGCAACAACAATACGCTCAAATACCTCATCAAGTGGAAAGATTACTCAGCAAGCGAAAACTCATGGGAACCGCAGGAGAACATCGGAAACGCCATGGAAAAATTGATAAAATACTGGAAAACAAAAACTAGCCTCAACTCCACTGCTACACCATTGGCAGTCATTTTGGCATCACAACGATAGCAGAAACCACTACTTAAGACCTCTTCACCTCAGGGCGAGAATCAGACGCCACAACTCCACCCAAAATGCTGTCCCAATCCACCACATCGAGAGCGCCCCAAGACTGAGCCTCAGCCACAGCCTCAGATTCAGCAGCACGCCGAGCATCCTCCTCCCAACGCTCCTTCTTCTCCAGCTCATCCAGGGAATGCAGATCCTGACTAACTATCTTCGCGCTACGATTACGCAGGGAACGTTTCTGTTTCCGCAAACGCACCAAACGGGCCGTTGCCTTGCCCAATTTGAACTGGAGCTTAAGAAGAACTTCCTCCGCATCCAACTCCTCCCGATCTAAGCAATCAAGTTTAATAGTAATACGAAATACTATCATAAGAATCAGAAGGCAAACAAGGAAGAATTCAGAAGAAGAACAAACTCACAAGCATTCACTGGAATACTGAAACCATTGCAGGAACAACCCCAGCAAATATAACAGAAATACCTTTTAGTATCTTCTATTATCTTACACTCCAACCTCTTTAAGATATAGAAAGAACAAAGCATAATTTCGAAATTCTGAAGATCGATAGTCAAAGAAAGCTGAAGGCGTTATTCGGATTTTCGAGAAAGGGACTTTTCGATTCTGTTCGACATCTCAATTAGGAAGGCATGACCAGACCTACGAACAGCTTACCAGGAAACTTACGGAAGTACGTTGAGAACAACGACTAATAGGAGAGAGATAATATTATAACCCATTCAACATGCAGATCACGAAACAGGCTCCGCCTACAAAGAACCAGATATCATAACCCAACATCGAACAACCACCCAGAATTACGTAAGCAAGGATTAGGGTTGGATCACAACGAAGCAAGTAAGCCACTCACTGAATCATCACAACACAGATCACGAATCATAATAAGCCAGATAAGCTACAACAAAGAGCTGGATATATAAGAATACGTTCATTACCAACTAGATAGATCATTGTATATAGCTCTTCAGTTACTAATCTAAGTATTAGATTACTCTCTACTCTGATAGCTTCAAAAGCAGTAAATACTTGTATTACTTACTGAGACTTGTACAGTTCTGTATTCAAGGACTTAGCACTTTGATACCGCTCTTATTAGCATAAACCCCCTTTGTATACTTTGGAATCTTCGGATTGCTGCAGTGCTCATTATATTAGAATTAATACTTATAAATATATTATAAAAATATTATAAATTTAAGAAATTATTTCAAGAAGAATTGAATATAGAATTATTAGAATATAGCTTATATAATTATAAGATTCTACTATAAAAAGAAAAATAATCTAAGTTTTTTTTTATTTATAAATTAGATAAAGTATAATTTGAAGCATTTAGAAAATATCTTAATAAGAATCTTAAGAAAAAATATATATAATTATTACAATTATTAGCAGAATATCTTATTCTATTTATATCTAAGAAAAATAATAAGCTTAAGCTATATATTAATTATAAATAATTTAATAATATTATAATTAAAAACTAATATTTATTATTATTTATTAAAAAGCTATAAAATAGATTATAAGAAATATAATAATTTATAGCTTTAAATCTTAAAGAAGCTTATAATCTAATTAGAATAAAGAAAGAAAAGAAATAGAAAACTGCTTTCAGAATATACTATAAATATTATAAGTATTTAATTATATTCTTTGATTTAACAAATATTTTAGCTTTATTTCAAGAAATAATCAATTATATTCTATATAAATATCTTAATTAGTTTATTATTGCATATCTTAATAATATTCTTATTTATTCTTGAATACTGAAAGAATATAAGAAGTATATAGAAATAGTATTATAAATGCTTTAGAATGCAAAACTTCTTATAAAATCTGCGAAGAGTTATTTCCATATTTAGAAAGTTAACTATCTTTATTAGTTTACTATTTCCAATAGTAACTATCTCTAATAAAAAGAATAAACTTTTCATATAAAAGTTTAAACTATAGACTAAGGAGTAAAAGCTCCGAAAAGGAATTTCAGCTAATTACTTTAATTCAAACATTCTTATTTAAATTAAACAAACAAATAACTATAGGATAAAATTCCTATTGAAATTAGATAACAAGCTATTTCAATTCCAGTAACTAAATGTTATTTGAAAATCTAAATTGAAACTAATTAAACAAAGAATGTATAAATAAATAAAGAATGTTATAATTTAACTAATAATAAAGAAATAAACAAATCAGTTGAATTAGTAAATTTCTATTGAAAGAAATTCAAAGATAAATAGTCTGTATATTTCCTTCTTAATTTAAGATAGAAATATAGTATCAAGCAATTCAATCAAGCCTTTCAACCAACTATTAACTATTTCAACTAACTAGTATTTCCCTCTTCCTACTACTACCTTTTGAGGTTATGAGCCCGGATTTGCTATAATTCGGGAAATACCTTATTTATCTTATATTTGTTGAAAAACCCTTCTATCTACTCTTTTTTCATTCCTTTTTCAACAGATTTTACCTATTTGTGAAAATTAGTTCACATTCAACTAAGATTCGAAAAACAATTACTTTTCAACTTTTTCGAACTATTCCCTTTTCGAAACCAAAATCTATTAATATAATATATTAATAGTATAAAATAGTATATATACTATCTTGACAGATTTTATCTATCTATTTTATTGGTTGCAAAAATCGACTTTGCAACTAAAGTTTTGCATCTTAAGCCAATTCGAACGATTACGCACTTTTTGCAAAATCTCACTTTTTCTCTATCGATTTGATCGATATAAGAAAATTAAGTCAATATAATATATTGATTAACTATATAATAGTATAATATATTATTATATATCGAATAACTATTTTTCTAAAAAAGAAAAATATACTATTTTATTAAAATAGTAAAATGGCGACTTCCGAACTTCGCACGCTTTTTGCTCGTCTTAAGAGCGAGGAAAACTATATTCCCTGGGCTATTCGCACCAAAAGCACCTTACGCTAGAAAAAGATCTATAACGCTATTCTTCGAAAATATACCCTAATTAATAGAGCTGAAGAACTAAATGATGAAGAAGACGAAAATTCATCTATAGATCTTTTACAAGAAGCATCAGAAATACGAAGTGCGATTATACCAACAGCTCAGGAAGATATAACAGCAAAAAACCTAATTATTCTTCTAATAGAAGATGATTCTTTACAACAAATTCAACATTTATCAACAGCATACGATATTTGGAAAGAATTAGAATATTTATATAATCCTAAAGAATTTACTTTAACGTTTCTAGTTTGTAAGGAGTTTTTTATCTTACAATACGAAGAGCTAATGGAAAAATTCGTTAACTCGATTAAACGGATTTTAGATAAACTAAAATCAAGGGATATAAATTTATCTGACGAATTAGTCCTAACTTGGATTCTCGAAAGCCTTCCAGACGAATATAACAACTTTATTTCGTCAGTTATTCAACAATGCCGAATTGATCCTAGCGCGTATACAACTACTACGCTTATAGCCACTCTGTTAGACGAATCTAAAAGAATCAGCACGAATACGAAAAAGATTCTTTTTACTTCAAGTAAAAATAACTTGAATAAAAAGAATAAAAACAATCGAATTATTAAAAAGCCTTGGAAAAAGACTAAGGGGAAATATTGCAAGCATTGCAATTTACCTACTCATAATACAAGGGACTGTTTTTATCTATTTCCAGATAAAGCTTCTAAAGGCTGGAATTCAACAAGAGATCCTAATTCGATTCAAAACAAGGAAAATAAACCCTTGAATCCAAAAAGCCGTCAGATCAATATTGCTCGTCAATCAAGGGAAAATAATGTTGATAATTTAATTACAGCGCAAGCTGAAATTAATAAATCAACTGAAATTCAGGAAGATTTTTCAACTGTTGAAGAAATGAACCTGAATATAAACTTTGATCTAATAAGCGATTATTCTCCTCAGGTAAATATTACCACGAAAAACAACGCTAATAATAATACTATTATAAAATTAGAGCGAACTATTGAACGAATAAATTCGTCTATAGCTGAAATACAAGCAATAAAGATATTTGATACTAATTGCACGAAAAAGAACTATTATGCTGTTGTGGTGGCCAGGGTGGTAGTCCGTGGGACATGGAGTACAGTGGGTCAAGAGTCCTCATACATATAAAGGATACCACCCACTTTTCAAATTCTTTAGCTACAAGCAACAAAAAAAGCATCCTTTTCTCTTCTTTTCAATTTTGAACCCTCTGGACAGGTCTAAGACAGGTTTTTCACCCTGTTCTTGTGCCCGTGTGGCCTTAGTTTGCTGTCCTCATCTGTACAGGCACGCTTGGGTTGCACGAGCCCTTGCCCATTGCTTCGGCAGCTGTTCGTCCCTTTTTCCCTTTCAAGGGCGACAGCGCTCTAGTTCTGGTTCAATGCTAATTTTATAATAGATTCAGCAGCTGAACGAAATATAATATACAATAGATCGTTATTCCGAACCTTTACAGTATGTAATAAAACTGTAAGCTGGAGAGAAGCAAAGAAATCGGATATAAAAAGCGTTGGTACTGTTTTAGTTTAGTTTATTAATTCAAAAGAATTATTACTATTAAATAATTGCTATTATATATCAGAAATAGGTATTAATTTAATATCACAAGGTTATTTATCTAAAGATATTAGTAGTTATTTTAATAATAATATAATAATACTGTTTAAAAATATGAAAACTATTTCTATTGGTGAAAAGATAGGTAATCTATACTATTTACCTATTAAGCCTATTAAATTACTAAAGAAAGTTTTAGTACTAAACGAATCAAAAGAAATAAGTAAAATAGAATTATTACACAAAAGATTCAGCCATATAAATAAAAAGGCTATTGGTAAATTAATAGCTAATACAGATAAGCTTAATATACAAAATAAACAGATGAAAATATCTGATATAGATAAACTATCTAACTGTGAAATATGCTATAAAGCAAATATAACACAAAATATAAATAAGTTTTCTAATTCGCTTAAAGCAAGCCAATATTTAGAAAAAATTAGTTCTGATATATGTGAGCTAATAAGCTCACCTACTTATAACAAATATAAGTACTTTATAACATTTCTAGACGAAAAAACTAAATACCTTGAAATTGAACTATTAAAGTCAAAAGATGAAGCTATTATAGCTTTTAATAAGTTTAAAGCTATAGCTGAAAATCAGTGTACGAATAAAATAAAGCGATTTGCAAGCGATAATGGTACTGAATTCGTAAATAAACGATTTCAACTAGCATTAAATAATGCTGGTATAATACACCAAAAATCTTCGCCTTATACGCTACAGCAAAATAGGGCTATAGAAAGAATAAATCGAACTTTACTAAATAAAGTAAGAGCTTTATTATTAAATGCTAATCTATCTTTATTCTTATGGGAGGAAGCAGTAATAACAGCTTGTTACTTATATAACTGTACATTACATTCAACTATAGGTTTTAAAACACCTTTTGAATTGAAAAATAAAAATAAACCAAATATAAGTAATATAAAGGTTTTTGGTAGCCTAATATATTATAAACTAAAAGGGCCTTATGAAGGCGCTAAAATAGAA